GCGCAGCCTACCCACCACCTTCAGCATTTGATGTGCCGCCTGTTGCACTGTGAGCGTCGCCAGGCTCTCGAGCGCCGCGAGTGCCTCCCCGACACGCGGCTCCGCCATGACGACGTGCTCCGCACACGCGACCGAGAGGTGTCGGATCTGCGGCGCGCGCGTGAGCACGTCCGCAAGCAGGGGCAGGGCGGCGTAGTCCCCGCTTGCGACGGCGTATTCTGCGTTGACGCCAAACGCGGCCATGCGCACGTCGAGGCGGCGGAGCCAGCGCAGGCGGTGCGGGACGTCCGCGAGGAGGTACGCGTATGCGCGTTGTGCCTGGTGCGGGGAGGCGGGGGCGATAGTAGTGAGCGCGTGCCGCGTAGCGAGGGGGCGGATGGCCCGTGAGGTTAGCGAAAATCGGAGCGCGTCGGGGCAAGGGAGGAGAGACGTGATGAGGGAGAGGACGTCGTCGTTGAGTGCGAGGATATTCATGGCTGCTCAGGTTGCTGGTTGGCAGCGCGAGGGCCGATGTTGCCGCGGGGCTGGAGTGCGGCCAGCTTAAGTACGCTCGACTCAGCATCTATAGCTTGGACCGTCGCCGCCTATGCCGTAACGTGTGAGTGGGCATGACGCTCTATCCGCGGGAATTCACTCCTGCTTCGCGATCGCTAGTCAGCGGATCGCCTATGTCCGCTCTAGTGTCTGGCACCTTACTCAAAAAGCAGAGCTGTGTAGTCCTGACATGCAGTGGATTGACGGCGACGGTTAGTAGCTAACCACATAGCCAACACTATTTCACCGTCGATGTTGTATGCCAACTCAGGATCCATAGTGCGTTGATATCTATTGCATTCCAACAGTCGGCACAAACTCACTCTTGGAAGTTCACAACAGTCAGGAAAGGAGGTTTGCTAACATTCTTCCGATATGAACGCGATCCGTGCAGAACGGCCGCAATTCTCATCAGTTGTCACCTCGGGGCTTAGAAATCCTGGCGCTCCGGGGCTGAAGGAGATCGTGACTTTTCACGGACACAATGACGGACTCCTTTTAATTGTCCGTGCAAGACTCGAGCGTTATGCGCTCAATTCAAGTCCAACCTGTGCGATATCCAACACAGACGTCATACAAACAAGGCTGGTATTATATCTAGAAGATACAATTAGTGATGTGCAGTGATAGTACAGATCGGATAGGATAGGACATAAATACCCCCTGGTGCGTATATTCAAATCTGTGTAGACGTATAGATATGTGACGGGCATCAACTAGAAAACTGTACCAAAGAGCGCGCATGTCAATTGGGCCCGTTTCATCTCGGAAAGAATGGGGCGATGCGTTGTATTACCGCTGCTCCGCTGTCTGCACGATGGTCAGCCCGAGAGAGCATACAATGGCCATTAGAGGTGAAAGAAGGTACGCGACAGTCAGATACCCTGCAATCGGACCCTGGTCGATATTCACCATGGCTGCGACATTCATGAGTAACATGGCAGAGGGGCCCGCAGGGATGAGGACGAGGAGGAACCTGGGTATATGCGTGACATTGAGCACGGGAACGCTGGAGCTGAAAATGGATACGTACCAGACGAGCGGATCGTGCACGTACAAGCCCCTGCCCGCAGTTGCCCACACGAAGAGCAGGCCAAGGGCGGGCATGACGATGAAGCGCACGAGCAGGACCCAGATTGTTTGAAAGTACCCAGGATTCGAGGACGGTACGAGCCCAAGCTCCGCGCCTACGGAGAAAGTTTGGAGCGCGATACTGTAGGATGCTCAGTATGTGAGCTCTAGAGAGATGCGAAGACCTACAAGATGCCACCGAGGTTCTTGGCGCTCTGCGTGATCGACGCGTAGAAGATACCACCTTTAACTAGGAATTCGCGGTGCAGCGGGGGGATCATCTACAGAATGTCGTATGTGAATCAGTCTACTATCCATTTGACGCGACATTACTCACTCCGAGGATAAAGGCTATAATGGCGCCAATAAGCGGTGCGCTCATGTATGACCAGACGAGCTTGACGGGCTTCGCGAGCGGAGCGATGGGCTTAGGCCAGTGCATGTCAGGTATTTCCGCGATGGGAATCAGCGCATCGCCTATTCCATTGCCGCCTACTGCGTCCTCATCTCTTTCGTCGTCTTCTTGATCGCCCAGTAGTCCGACGCGCTCTTCGTCTTGCACGATCGGGAGGAGGCGACCAGGCCCCGGGCGCAGCGCGTCCGGGAGAGGCTTGCTGTGCCCGTCGTCCAGCAGGAGCACGGCCGGCGCGAACTGGAAGGTGAGAACCTGCTGGACAACGGCGTTGAGGAGCAGGAGGGACTGCGCGCGGCGCAGGGTTTCCGCAACGTTCTCTCCGTCGGCGGAGAGAAGCTCAAGTACTCCGGTGGCCTCGAGGCTCTGGAGGAGGAGGAGGGGGAGGGCGTTGGAATTGGGGCGGCCGCAGGCGACGATGGTCCAGTGCTTGAGGCCAAAGAGGCGCTGGCCTGCCCAGCCGACGAGGTGCGCGAGGACGGTTGTGGCGAGACCCCAGAGGGGAATGATCCAGTAGCGAGCGAGGCTGGACGCAGTGAGCTCGGGGCCCATCTGGACGACAAGGAGGGATGGGAGAAATAGAGAGGTACAGAGATTGGAAATGTGCTTTATGGTTGCTTGGTCGACTGTGCCGCGACGGGCGACGATGTAGCCGGCGAGGAAGGTGAGGAGGACGGAGACAGTGCCCTGGAGCGCGCCAAGGAACGTCTCGAGGACGGTGTGCGCGGTAGACATGAGGGCGGGCTAGCGGGGGGGAGACGGGGAGGGCGCGAGGTCCATGCAGACATGGAGACTGTAGTTGCAACGCCGGTGGAGAGCAATGGCAGGCTGAGCGCTCGCTGATGTCATTCCGTTGACTTCCCAAAATGGCAGCTTCCCGCGCCTCGTCGCCCGCCTCCGCTTTCTCTCGCACTCGCGAACCTCCGTTTCACATTCAACAACATCCTTGTGGTTCATCTTGGATTACAACTCAAGGGCCAGGTAATTCCAAGAATCTCTCACATATTCATACAATGCTCATTTTTCTATTCTGCAGCCGCGAACCACTGGGTTCGTTGAATTTGGCCATGTGGCTGCGCCCTTTGCCATCAGATGCTGCAGATTCAATTTTCGCTTTCTACTTGATCAAGTTCAGTAAGTATGTATGTCTGCAATACACTCGCGCGAGCTGACACACATTGCGCTTGATTTATCCATTATAAGCCTTGTCGCGTCTGTAGATTAACAAGCACCTGATTATTCAACCAGGTTGGCCTTGGTCAGCCAAGAAATCAACCATAAGTAGGTAGCAAGATCGGCATGGACACCAGCATCGACCCCTAGCTTCTCTAACTTGGTCAATCGCAACATGTCCGCTAAAATCTCCAGTGCGCAGTACACCGTCGCCATCGTCGGCGCAACCGGTAATCTCGGTGAACCTTCCATTGTGCCTATTAATCCGGACAACTTGAACGTGCTCACACTTGCGTGCAGGAAAGGAGGTCGCGAACCAGTTTCTCACCAACTATCGCCTCTTCTTCCCTCGCGTCATCGCCGTCGGTCGGGACATTTCTACCCCCGAAGCGCGCCAGCTCGTCGAGCAGGGTGTGGAGCTGCGCTCGGTCGACCCGGCCAACGCGACTGAGTCCTTCACCAAGGCATTTGAGGGTGCTGACGTTGTTATCAATGTTTCCGCCCATGCACCCCTGGAATACATCAATGCGCTCTTCCGTGGCGCTCTGAACAACGGCGTCAAGGTCTACTTTCCTTCAGAGTATGGCTCGTGAGTGTAGCTGTGTCTATATGCGCGGCATTTATCATTATTGACGCGTTTTGTGTGCCAGCGACCATCGTCTCCACAACTTCGAGGGCTGGGACGCCGAAGTCTGGGAGGCGAAGCACAAGCACGCTGTGGAAGCTCGCTCGCTCGCTCAAGGCAAGCTCAAGATCATCGCTCTTTATACTGGACTCTTCATGGAAGGTACCATCGGCGTGAGTTCCCATCTCAATTGCATTTTGAAACTTTCAAATCTTAAACTTCATGATAGCCCTGGTGTACGTTTTGCCCTTGTCTCAAGTCTTGCTCTAATCCCTCTCACAGTCGGTTTCGACACTGCTAATCGCGTTTACACCTGCATCGGCTCCCCTGACAAGAAGACCGCAATCACCGGAAAGGTCGACATCGCGCGCGCGCTCGCGGAGCTATCCCTGCTCGCGCTCTCCCCGGGCACGGCGGCGCAGGTGCCGGACGAGGCGCGCATCGCGGGCGACAACGTAAGCTACCGCGACATCCGCGACATCGTGCAACGCGTGCGGGGCGCGCTCGGCGTGCAGCCTGCGGAAATCGCGCTGGAGGAGGTCGAGCTTGCGCCATTCCGGGAGAAGGTGCGCACGGGCGAGTTGCAGGAGCCGCATTATGGCCCGCTGCATCATATCAGGTGAGACACCAGCACGTTTTCGCTCACTAGCGTTGCGACGATGCTGACGTGTGTTCTCCATACAGGATCCTCATCGCGGAGGGAAGGCACGACTTCACTGAGAACAACAATGAGCTAGTGAACCCGGGACAAAAGGCGTGGAAGTGGAAAACCGTCGAGGATTATGTTCGCGAGGTTGGCGGAAAGCCACACTGCTAAGTGCGAACTCAACTGGGTGCCCCACGGCAGCGTCTTTGTGAGATGATGTCAGTTTTACATTGGTCAGGGAATATTTGGAAATGGAGTTGACAAATTATTACCTGTGTCGGCTGATGTCATTCGGCGTGATTGTTCCGTGCACTTGACGGCCAAGAGTGTGTCCGTGCCGGTCGATCGCTGCTTTCAGTCGACCACAATCATGTTTCGTCCGATCCTTCATGCAGAGTAAGGTGCGAAGGCATTCTGGGCGCGTCCAGCTATCTCTTCTAGTTGATTACCACATATTGAAGGTCTATGTCGACTCTATCTCGCGCGAGATGGCGCATCTGATTCTGTACACACGAAGTACCGCTCGCCACAGACTACGCCATTCGAAGCTTGATTCAAAGGGTGCATTGGTCAGCTCCCAAATACTTAAGCACCAGACGTGAAACGCTCTCAGCAACCCTATCGCCTCTCATCTCTCTTCTGCACACCACCCAACTGCGAACTTTCAAGTGACTACGAATGTCGTACAGAATCAGTAGTGCACAGCACGTCGTCGCCCTCGTTGGCGGGACGGGAAATCTCGGTGTGTGCTTGCAGCCTCCTTCGCTCTCACGAGCGTCCCGCGAGAACAAAGAGCTGATCTCGATGCTTAGGCAAGGAGGTGTCCAACGTGTTCCTCACCTCCTACCGCACATACTTCTCGCGCATCATCATTGTTGGGCGGGACATCACCACACCGGCTGCGCGTGAGCTTGCCGGGCAGGGCGCGGAGCTCCGCGCAGTGGATACGGCCAACCTCGTATCGTCCTTTACACAAGCTTTCCAGGGCGTGGATGTCGTTGTGAACGTCAGCTCTCGCGCTCCGAACGAATACCATAACGCCCTCTTTGAAGCGGCACTGAAGAGCAGCGTCAAGGTGTACTTCCCTTCGGAATTTGGCTCGTGAGTGAAAAGTGCGTAGAAATTAAAAGAGCAGTAGGATTGAAGGCGATTGTTGCAGAGACTACCGTCTCAATGACTTCCCGGGCTGGGACGATGTTACGTGGACCGAAAAGCGCGAGCACGTCGATGCCTCCCGCGCGCTGTCCAAGGGCAAAGTCAAGATCATTGCGGTCGCCACGGGCCTCTTCTTGGAGACTGCTTTAGGGGTAAGCACTTACTGTCTCACCTCCCCCCGCCGCCGTGCTCACAAATCCTACTTCAACAGCCCTGGCGTACGTTTCCACCTCTCTACCCTGCTCAACCCTAAAATCTGACCTCCGCCCAGTCGGCTTCGACACTGCGAACCTGACATATACTTCCGTCGGCTCCCCCGACGTGAAGACTGCCGTGACCGCCAAGGTGGACATCGGACGCGCGGTCGCGGAGCTGACCCTCCTCGCGTTGTCGCCGGACACGGCGTCGCAGGTGCCGGATGACGTGCGCATCGCGGGGGACAACAAGAGCTTCCGCGAGATCCGCGACATCGTCCAGCGTGTGCGCACGGAGTTTGACGCGAAGCCCGCTGGGGAGATCGTGCTCAAGACGGTCGAGCTTGGACCATTCCGGGAGCAGCTGCGTAAGGCACAGCTGGAGAAGCCCGCGGAGAGCCCGCTGCAGCATATCAAGTGAGTCGTGCGCACAGAAACGTATGCAGGGCGGCAAGTACTGATGCTGGTCCGTCGCAGGATCGTCATCGCGGAGGGGAAGCAAGACTTTTCGAAGGAGAATAGCGACGAGCTGGTCAACCCTGGACAAAAGGTGTGGAAGTGGAAAACGGTCGAAGATTATGTCCGCGAGGTTAGGGGTCAGCCGTTCGCTTAGGGGGTCTTAAGCTTGCTGGAGTCGCTTGACCGAAATTCGAAATCTGAAGCAGACCATGTCAGTGTTGTAGGTTACAAAAAATGGTGCATTGAGTGGTGATTGGAACTTGAATGACATGTGCACCTGGCATAGTATATTCCAGCCTCCGCCACTTACAAGTTACCACCGCGATCCTGATGATATCGGCCTGAAGAAGATTGGTCTCCTGCATGATTCGGTCTATACTCACCGCCGGCGCCCGGGCCACTCCATCAGAGTCCATCCCGCATCTCATGCCGAGGATGATGAATGTTTGATGGGTATGCATTCACATAGCCTTTGTAAGTAAGTCAAGTAGAACTTCATCAGGTTCTAAGCTGTCCCGTCTTGGAGGCTGCAGAATTATTCATCGCATATGCTGCAATTAGAGACGTAGCGCTGTACGAGACTCGCAGGCGCATCTTCGAGACCAGGGGCCGTCAGCTAGCCGGCGGCGGCAAGCCCCAAGCAGGCACTGCATTTAACATTATCATATGTCTGGTGAAACGCTCGCTTCATGTGGCATAAGCCTTAATCCTCTTTCTTCCATGATCAACACTTTCTTTCTCCCCGCCCTGCTCGCGCAGAATTGGGATGTCTTCGTTGTCCCTATTCCTTGGGCTCCTCCTGATACCTCTGACAGTGGTATGTCTTAAATGGCCCACCACGCCTATCGGAGTCAAGTCTCGCCATGACCTCCCTGGCCCCAGAGGCCTTCCTTTAGTCGGAAACCTCCTTGATATCCTCCCCCACCTTGCGGATATGCTCAGTTACTTCTCCAAGCTGCATAGTCAGTATGGGGACTTAGTCACGTTCACCCTACCCGGCTTCGGTCGCACCATTATCATCGACCGACCGGAATGGTTGGAACATGTTCGTAAGAGTGCGTACACCTTATCACTTGATGATTTCGGCTGAGGAAGGAATGTGTGGCATAGATGACATGGTTGTGTATGGAAAGGGAGAGCGAACCCTCGTCATGTTCACTGCGTTTCTCGGCGGGTGGAGCCCGTTTGGAGCCGAGGGTATGCGGTGGAAGACGAGCCGCAAAGTGATCAAGTGGGTGGATAGTATCTTGCTATCCTATCCGGGTTGATGATATCGTCAGGCCCATCTTTGCTTCTGCTCAGTTTGATGCTACGTTGAGAGCCATGAATGAGGTACGTCCCCGAGATGCACGCCATGCGTTTCACTTGAAATTTGCAACATCCCTACACAGATCCTCATGCCGGCGAGAGAGCTGCTCTCTAATGCGGCAAAACAAGATGTAGTAATAGACTTCAATGGTCAGTCTACTTCACTGTGAAGGTGTCGTAGTTTGACGGTCATGACAGAGTTCTTTGGGAGACTACTCGTGATGATATTTTACAAAATGGCACTAAGCTCCGATATTGCACTCTTGACACCGGACCCGTCCTGCCTTTCCGAGCCCCACATGTTGTTGGCCGACGCTTCCACCCAGAATAGCATCTCCTCTGGGTACGTATTCAAGGTAATCATGATGCACGGTACGCTGTTGCTGAATTGATTGATGTGCAGACGTATCTTCAATCCGTGGTGGCAATTTACGGAACAGGTACGTAATTGATCTATCAATATACGATGCATTAAATGCAACTAAGCTGTTCATAGCTCAACGGCGTCGGGGAGACGTTTGCTGCTGCGCGCGGACGAGCAGACAAATTAGTAGACGATATTATTGCATCTCGACGGAAGATGTCGCGCGAAGCTGCGGCTGCCTACGATGACTTCCTCTCGACGCTTCTCCAGGGGACGGACGAAGTCGACCCGGTTCTCTTCCGTGATTGTATCATTACCCTGCTCTTCGCTAGCAAGGACACGACACAGAACGCGCTCTCGTGGTCTCTTCATGAATTGTCCCGACACCCTGACTGGGTAGACGCGATGCGCAATGAAGCGCTCTCGCGCGACACCCAAGAACGGGCCATTCCGTACGACAACCTCGCTGTATGTTTTCCTCTATTAGAGGCACACGTTCCTGAATTTCTCTTGCAAAGAACTATCCAATCCACATGGCGGTGCTTTACGAGACCTTGCGTCTATGGCCAGGCGTGCCCAAGAACAGTCGTGTAGCTCTCCAGGACGACGTGCTTCCGGGAATACCAGAACTTGGCTATGGCCCTATCAAAGTCGACAAGGGTGACAACGTAGCGTGGTCGGATTTTGAGATGATGAAAAACGAAGCGGTGCGCCACACGCTAATGTATATACTCCAGTGACGTGATTGTTGCGCATGGCAGGTGTGGGGTCCGGACGCGAAGGAGTTCAACCCGGCGCGACATCTCGATGCGGACGGCCAATTTGTCAAACCTTCGCAGCCCAAGTTCCACGCCTTCGGCGCTGGGCCGCGTGCATGGTATGTTCTTCCATTCAAGCTTCGACAGAATTGAATAACGGAGTGTCTTCCAATAGCCCCGGCTCGCAATCCGCTACCTACCAGTTCGTAGCCATTTGGGCGAGCATCTTGCCATTCTTCGACATTAAGCCGGTCGAAATGAAGGACAGATATTGGTCTGATGGACTGACGATTTCTATGCGTGATCCACTCTTGGTCAGAGTACGCGCCCGAGCTTAAGCCCGACGACGAATGAAGCGACCGTGATGTCTTGGACCAGTTAAAGGTCGACTGGTCAACCTATCGGCTACAATACTCGCGGGCTGATGAGGAGACAAACGGGACCAGCCTGTATAGCGGTGTTGGGGCGGGACTCAGCTACGCGGTATATTCTTAGCTCAGATCCCTTGTCTTGGTGTATTTAACATCGAGTACAGCTTTGTACTTGCCATATCTATTGACGGCCAGGTATAGCTACAAGATGGCCACGAAACCGCATAATTAACGTGCTACGCTCAACAGATATCTTCATACTCATCGTCCACACCAAGATATTTCTTGATCTCCGCGGGTTCGACACAGCTCTGTCTTGTAAAGTGGGCTAGCAAAAGCACGTAGTTGTCTGTATGTTCCTCACGAGTCAGCCGCCTGTGGAATCACCTGGGGGAATGCTCTGAATGGAATGAGATCAAGAGAGCCATACCGGTCCAGCGTACTGCTGCCTCTTTGGCAAGCACCACCGCACGTTTCTTCTCTTCTACTCTTATAGGGTCGCATGCACCGTATTGCGCTAGCTCGGCCTCGAGCTCGCTGAACTCCTTCCTGAACGACGCCAGACGTGCTAGAGCCGCCCTACGGTCTTCCTGGAAGGGGTAGAAAACCATTATCACTGCGGCCTCCATAAGAATCATGTTCGGCGGGCATACACTGTCCGGCCGTGCAGCCCTCTCTGCTTCGATTGCCGCGCGGAGTTCTGTGAGCTGACCTCGATACGATGCTTGACTCTCCTTCACGGTGGCCAAGCGGCTCTGCATCTACCAGTCATTGTGCAAGGGGGCGTAAGTGGGATGAAGGCGGAGGAAGACGCAATTATGTATATGGAGGATATACCATTGCACCTCGCTGCGAGGGAAAGCTCCAAAAGACTTAAAATGTGAATGTATGCGCACCAATCAGTCAAAATCCATCATCAGCTGAGAAGTTGACGGAGGCTCACAATTAGATGATCCGATCTTGTCTGCTTGCACCATGCCATCATCTACGAGTCCTTGAAGCACCTCCTTGACTGACTGTGAAACTGGCCAGGCACTCAGAGCACGGTAGATGACACAGACTGCGCGCATACACACCGATCCCCTTCATCTTTGGTCCGATTTTCTCCAACTCTTTCAGCTGAAAGAAATCTTTCTACAAGATACCTGTCAGCTGAACCATTTGCCTATATGCTTGGGGTTGGGAATCAGGACTCACCGTCTCATGGAAAATTTCAAGAAGCCTGACGCGTTTGTCTTCAGCGGAAAGTCCCCGAGGAGCCTAGGGCGGGGCGTGGCATTGGTAATAAGCCTTACAGCATTGTGAATATGCTGGAATACTGTCGCACCATTCTGATTACGATATAATTGTTGTTGCAAGCTAAGAGAATAGGGACGACGCGTCGAAAAAGGACTGGGATCCAAGTTCGCGTCGGGTTCTTCGCTTCTGGATCTTGAATCGTCGGAGCCACACAGGTGGACATGTGACCGCGCCAACCGACTGGTGGATCGAATTTTATCCAGGACTTGACTTTGGGACTCGGACACAGTTGCAATTGGTCTCGTGCCCAGACGTGTCGGTGTCTTCGACACGTCTGGGTACGAGACCAGTTGCAATAGGCTTACATGAGACGGAATGCACCAACAAAACAGCTGGCACTAGTGACCTCAACAGCGTAACTTGATCAGAATACGGGAAGGTATATGATTGTCTCATGAAGCGCTTGCCCATAAGTATAACACAGACGATGCAGAGTTGTACTAGTCACGACCAAGATCTTGGGAGAAGAGCGTATCATTTTTGCTGATATGATACCCGAAGGTGTCCACAGCGGCGCCTAACAGGTAGACTTTAAAGCTCTATGGCCGGCGCAGACTCCTACTAATGCTCCCCATTAGACAAGTACAAAGTAAGTCGTTCGAGCTCCTGTCCTCGCTCCGGAGCACTATAGCCATCTCTGGCCCATTGCCACATATGCACACACCTGACACCCTTCAAAAGTGGATAGACAAGTATGCGAAACTATCCCATCTACTATGGGCAGTGCCACGGCGGATCTATGGTACCGTGCTTGGAAAAACGAAGACAATGTACTCAGCCTCCTCCCTGTTATACGCGATTAACTAAGACAGCGTGCCAACATCAACCTTCTCGAGCAGTGTCTTGTAATAAAGGGATCTTCGGACGTGTCTACGGATTTCGACGTGACAGCCGCCTACATTAGGCATGATTTATGGAAATCATGAAGCAAATGATGGCTTTTGCCTCCTCGCCTGGATGCCTCGTGGACGACGCATTTGCGAGGAATCGTTGATGTACGCACCTTGGAGGAAGCAGAAAATAAAGAGATGGGAGGGGCTGTCCCACAGTACTTATCTAGCATCCCGGAAACCCCATTCGCAAACTTAATGGTCAGTATTCCACATTCTTATGGAATGACGATCGCAGGCAGTGCAGAAAGTAGTGCGTTATAGTCACTGATTTGGCGTTCTGGATGTCTGCGACCCGGCTCACCGTGTGTTTTCCAGGAACGAGCATGTTTTTGCATGTCATTTTGGGCCTCCGCCTGAATGCCAAGCTTCCGACAATCTTTCATCTTGACCCGGCGTGTGCATACAGTACCTCTTGCCGCTCACGGTATATTTACCATCGAGGGAAATAGGCTTGGAGCGCCCGGGCATCATCGACACCTTATCCCTGATCCTTGGTGCCTGGTAGATTCAGACTTCGATATAACCAACCCCCCAATATGTTGGGGACGGTGGCTTGACGGTCTTCCAGGCTGCTACCGCGCAACAAAACAGGCTGGCATGGATGAGCAAAATGTCCACGGTCATTGCCTTTTTGCATGAGTCCGCCAGCTCGGTGAGGCCATCGTTGCCAAGTGCTACAATTTTACAGGTCGGCACATGCTCAACCTCGATGTGTCGAAATGAACCCAGTTCGCATTCGGTCTGTTGGGTGTCCTGCCTTTTACTCTGATGATCTCAAATCTCCGTGGGCGCGGACAACATCGCCCGATGTATGTGTATACGAGTGAAGAATATTTCAAGCTATATGATAGCATGAGAGAACATATGCACATAACATGTAATGTTCGCCTTTACCCTTCTCAGTCATCCGTCTCACAGTTTCACCTTCTGATCCGTAAGATCCAGAGACTTTTGAGCTCAGCATTCTTCGGTTCGGCGCTGTGCTATAGCGAACATCGCTTGATCAATGAACAGTATGCTCTAGCTGTACCGCGACCCCGCAGTCTAGTGAACTAATCGACTGTCGTTTATACAGTGCATGACATGCGTGTGGGTTACAGAGTCTTCTGAGTAGTTTCGAAGAGTCGGCTTGAATCATGTCTGGACCCTATTCAATTATTGGCTGACCAATTCCGCACCTTCATAGCACATTATGAGAGAAACGCTTATATTGCTGCGGCTGGTGCGAGTGTTGGAAGATTATTCAAATGTCATTCGACATTCCGGGATTATCCTACACTGGCAGCGGAGGCCCTCGGGTTCGTCGGATGGATCTCATGTACGGGAATGCTAGACGGTGAATCAGTCTATCTGCTCTGTTCTGACCGGAACAAGAGTGATTTCTGTCAGCTGACGATCGAATGATAGATTGGGTCTTCCTATCTACAATGTGAAGTGGTGAACACTCACGTCGCGATTGGACCTAGCACAAAGTACGTAAATAAAATATGTGCACTCCCAACTGTGCTTGGGATGAGATCTTTGGGTGTATGAAAGGTGATCATCACCCCCCTAGGCAGTGCCGTTACGAGTTAACAACGAAACATACCAAGGCATATCACCACGCATGCCGCCAGCTCATGTTGGAGGCAACCATGAAGAATCGCCTCATCCCGAGACTGTTTCACGAAGATTTGTACTTACAACGCTGAAGGGGAGACGAGCTCTATGGCATGCAGTCGACATCCATTTCCAGCTCACTATGGTCAGGATAATGCCGGCCGTAATAATCTAGCGTACACAGCGCACCGGGATGAAGGGAGAGTAATCGAGCCTAAGATACCGTCCGTGTAGGGACCATGAGAAACCAGGCCTAAGGAATCTCAAAGGAAGTCCGTGCGTGGAAAACCAATGCGATGAGAGGTAAACAAAATATCATGACCCAGCATACCACGGGGCTAAATGAATGTGCGCGAAATAGTATTAAGCGAACCAGGAGGAAAAAAAGTGCAATGAAGAGCAGGGGTGACCGAAGAGCATTACGCTCGGATTTTGTTCATCAGTAGGTATTATGAACGAAGAAAGTTACTGTAAGAAATGGAGCTATCGCAGATCAAGCCGCTGGTCTGTCGAGGGGTACCGATATGCGACAAATTCTGAATCTTGCTCAACCAACTCCGCGATGTTCTTCCTTGACGCCATCGACATCCTCTGAACATTGCTGCTGTGAGCTGACCCGGACCCACCGTACAGGTTACCGGTCGTGGCGTCCTCCCTGTCGGACGCAGACGTCCTGAACGTGGACGCGGCATACTCTGCTTCAACGGCGCCATTCTCCTTGTTGTCACCACCACCGCCAGACGATTTTTTGCTAAACAGAGAGGCAAGACCAAACCTGCTCTTCCGCTGCTTAGGCTTGGAAGTCTGAGTCCCTTGTAGAGCGTCCCACCCGAGCGAAAGCTTGGATGCGCCAAATTCACCGTAGCGAGCCTCGGATATGGACGACGGAGATCCTGGACCAGGCGTCATGCGACCGTAAACACCCTTCAAAGGTAGGCTTCGCACAGCAGGGTGTGGAGATGATGCCAAACCGCTGAACGACTGCCTTCGTGGTTCAGCGTTACGGAAAGGGGCACTGGGGGGAAGCAATTGAGGGGCAACTAGATCACGGGAGAGAGACATCCTTCCATCGTACGTGAACATCGTCTGAGGTCGCGAGTCGGGCATAGCATGTTGGGGGAATTCAACGGATGATTCCGCTGGCAAAGGTGGGAGGGATTTGTCTCGCCGAACAGTGGTAGGCACACCTAAAGTCGCAGATACAGGCGTCTGTGGCCCATTGTAACTAGACAGTGTCTTAGAAGAGCTCTGAGTCGTACGCCCTCGACCCTCTATATCGGGTGAGTTGATATCAATGTGGTATTCATCGAGATCGTGGTTCCCGCTGTCCTTGCGGTTGTCACTAATGTTGTCTTTGTCAGCAATAGGCTGCCGCGAAGACGTGGGAGATGGGACAACACTAGAAGGTGCAGTCGGTGATGTAGCGTACAAAGACATTGTGTTAGGTGACACAGATGACGGTAGTGAGGGGGTGGATACGTGCCGTCTCGAGGAGATACCTCGTTCTCGGTTTACCAAGTAAGAAATTGGCGGAGGGGGAGCCAGAGGAGCATCATCTTCCGGTTTCTCCAGGGAACGAGATTGATTACGGCCCTTTGAAGATGATCCACCCTTCGATGATCCACCAGTCACGATTTTCCAAAACTTCTTGAAACCATTCTTCTTTTTAGGAGCCTGAGTTGCTGGGGATTCTGTCCGCGAAGTCTCCTCTTCTTGACCAAACGCACCGGCCAAATGTAGCGTGGGTGTAGTACTGCCCAGCTCGGCTTCAGGATGATCTTGTAGATATTGTTGCTCTCGCTGAAGAGCGACACTGATAGGGACTCAGCTACGTGTAAACAACTGTTACCAATGACCACGTACTGCATATCTATCATGCTACCTGAGGGCGCCAAACTATCCTGGCTTCTCCAGCCTGCAGTCAGGTTTTTGAAGCCAAAGAACCGCGATCGCCTTGGCGATGACGTGGAGCCAATACTCTGCATATCTGAGAAAGATGCCTGCGAGTAGGCTCGAGGCAACATGTGTGGTCTGTCACCCATAGTGAGCACACTACTCGGCCGCGGGGAGAACGATTGTGAGTAACGTGAGTCGTTGCCCTTCGCGCCAGAGAAGTAGCCACTGTCTGTCTGGAATCGTTGACTGGATATGGGCATTGAATATACTGAAGCTACGTCGATAGCAGAGCCACGGGACGACTTTCTCGCTCTGCTCCGATCGCGCTCTTCCCGCCGCTTGCGGTCACGGTCATCTTTCTCCTCCTTGCGAACGTCAACATGCTCGACAATCATCCCATTCTGGAGCAATGTCACTTCACGACCATTGGCATTCCCATTGGGGGCAAGAGGCACCGAGGCCGACCGTGGGGCCTTGATACGCACGCCATCATCTGCCAGCTGGGTATTGCTACCTAACTCGTACGCGGAGCGTCGAAGCTGAGAGTACGTGTCGCGCATCTTGTCTTCCAGCTGTTGAGATTCACGCATCGCCTTCGCGCGAGCTAAGGCGTCCGCTTCAAGCAATGAACGCTGGGACCTAACATACGAGTCAAGTGTTTGCTGCCGTGATGATGGCTCTTTAGGGTTCTATGAACAAATCATTAGCATAGGGAAACATGAGATATTTATAATTTGATGACATACCACACTGAGCCACTTTGCGAGATTATCCTCTGACAACGGATGGCCCCTTGACCGCGGTCGTGCAATACTATCGGGATGCACGATCCCGGTAACCTCTTCTTCTTGCTCGCGACGGATGAGTTCTTCGAAGAGAACATCGCTCTCTCGTTCCCAAACACCCGGACTCGTCGCATCTACGTCGGCCATATCCTGATCCCTCATCGCACACTCGATGCATATCTCCTCCTTTTGAATCTGCGCTGGAGCATATGCAGCATTGGCAGTCTTCTGTCCGGGACCAGGAGTGATGTAAGTCGGGAATTGTGCAGAGGCGCGTGGCTTCGGAGATATGTGAACCTGCATCCCCGCCGGGCTGTAGGATGGACCGGGACTGAATCCGACCATTGGTGAATTTGGCGAAACGCTGGGACCTGGCGCGGCACCAGGGACGAGGGAAGGCGGATGACGAGGAGAAGAAGGAATCATGCTGGGATGATATTGATCCTGCACTTGCGATTGTCTGTAGGTGGACACACGTTGTCCCAAGTCCTGGCCCTGCACAAGATCCGCCGTGGCGCGATTAAGCTCTGCTGAGCCACCCTGTGACGGTCGGCGCTGGGACGGCTCGTCCCGACTGAAGCGTTCAGCAAGACGCGGGCTACTCCCAGACGGCATGCCATAGGCCGTTAACATGCCTTCTGCGTTCGGGGACTGCGGCTGATGCGTGGCTGGAAAGGCGTCTTGCTGAAGAGCGAGGCCCTCAATCGGTGGTTCCATGAACTTCTCGCTCACCCATGACCTCGGAGAGCCGTTCACGATCGGATAATTGACCCAACTCCCTCGTGATGGGCCCTCAGGAAACAACGGAGCAGGCTTTGTGGCACAAGGAATGGGTCGTGCAGAAGCAGGAAGCACGGGATAACGGTCGTTCTTGACATCCAAGTCAGAAGCCGAGAGGCGGTTGGCGAGATTGCTCATGTGGATGTGTGGAGAGATGAGGCCCGTTGCAGCCTCGTTGAAAGCGGGACCAGTATCAGGTGGTGGCAAATGCAATGCGGTGGCCATACTTGAGTTTGTTGGCGATTCAAAAGATGATATGTGAAAGGAAGATAGTGAGCGTGGGCGGTGCAATGTACAGAACGACAAAGAGCCTTGGCGAGTGACTCTGAAGCCGACGACTATCGGGATTGTGTGTGGTAGAAGGAAATTAAGGGAGCAGCTGGCTGCCGGACGACGCTGGCGATCGCCAACGCAGAGACGTAGGGGGAAGGAAAGGGAACAGACGACTGGTGGTCGTGAAGCACTGAAGCAGAGGGGAAGCGACTGAAGCGACTCGGCCGCCCACTTCACGCGCCTAGCCACGGCATTCACCGCCCCGCACCCTCGCCGGCTCATTCTTTGATTTGGAATGCCCAACTCAAACTCAAACCATTTGTCAGAATCTCGTCTACATCGGTTGTCTCAAATGCACATTCAGTAGTGCAAGTAAGTGTGTGTAATACGACGAAAGCAACCTCTACAACTCTGCGATCGACACGAACATACCCCACACTCCGGCAGGACTCTTACTTCCGGTACCTAAGAATACCCCTCAGTTGCGGCACAAATAGCCCGTCAACGACCACTTACCAGATCACGCTCTTCCTGTTCCTCCTCATCTTACGCTGCAGCTGCAACATTCCATACAACAGCGCCTCGGCAGTCGGCGGACAGCCCGGCACGTAGATGTCGACTGGTACAATGCCTGCACGTGTTGACAGGTCAGCGCGGGCCAACTATACTTAGGAGCGGGACTGGAGCGGTCCGCGCGGAAAAATACGTACGATCGCATCCGCGGACCACAGAATAGGAGTAGTGATAGTATCCGCCACCGTTCGCACAAGAGCCCATGGAAATAACCCAGCCTGTCAGGCACACGGACCAATAAGTACAATAACGGCATAATTCAGTTGTGCACTCACGGGGCTCGGGCATCTGGTCGTAGACTTTCCGCAACGCTGGCGCCATCTTGTTCGTGAGCGTACCGGCAACGATCATAATATCAGACTGCCGGGGACTGGCACGGAAGACGACACCAAGGCGATCCTGATCGTAGCGGGCTGCAGCCATATGCATCATCTCTACGGCACAGCAGGCAAGACCTATGTAGTATTGCCTCAGCAAAGTCAAGAGTGCTCTGCAGCTAATGACGCACCGAAGGTCATGGGCCACATGGACCCCTGCCGAGCCCAGTTCACAATCTTGTCCAAGGTCGACAGGACATACTCTGCATACCGTGCGAGCTAGGTGAGATGCATTGGTAGACTACACATAAATGCCACGCACCCGCTTTATTTTGCGGGGTCTCCAAGCTCAATTGGGTAGACCCACGCTTAGCAATCTGCGTGATGGGCTCGACGGCCGATGTAGTAGAGGTAGGAATGTCAGTGGGCGCAGAGGCGGGCGCTGTCGTATGTACTTTGCGCGATGTTGCAGCTAAAAGGGTGTAAAATTGCGCGGAAAACACGAGTGCAGTCTTGTCAGAAAACTACACATTATACAAGGAGCCTCGATAGACATACCGTACAAGCCAACCGGTGGGCGTAACGCGGCTCGCCGCCCTGCGCTGGCAACTATGCGATACGGCAAACGTATTCAGCTCAACTCTTCGAGTGGGCGAAGGGGTAGGGTGGCGTACCTGACGCTTTGAAGGTAGCGAGCGACATGGTGGAACAGTGAGGGGAAAGTGAGCTCGACGCACTGAACGATGAGCGCGGCGGATGCGTTTGGCTGCAGCGCCGGCCGTTACCGGGTTCCGCCGGCGTCGCTGTGTGCCGCTCGATTCCATGCGGCCTTGCTTTGTACCTCTCTTCAATTCATCTCTTGCCATTTCACGTTTCTCGAACTGAAATACGCTCCAACTTCTCCCCCGCTGGCTTTATTGACTCCTAAGTCTGGCTATCCTCATGCCTGAGGCGCCTCTATGTGATTCGGGGTTTGCAAGCACCTGGAGACCGAAGCTACCCTCACGCTGGTTTCGACGTCATCCTCGCCGACATCTTCACAAAGTCCTCGCTATCCGTCATTCTAGCCCGTGGATTGCTTCAGAATCACACCAGTGCGCAGCTCCGAGTGCGGCTTCGAAACTGCTATGGCCCTTCTTTCGCAACGTACGTGATCTTCTGCAAGATGTCACTACCGGTCAATCGCGAAAGGAACCTGTGGCTCATCAATATACTCTTATCTGGAAGTGTCTGGAAATGTCTCTGACATAGCCTTGGCCTCGTTTTGTTGTGCGCTCATTAATCATTGGGTTCGGTCTCTAAGCGGAAATGGGCATAGTTACTATCGCGTTTGAACACGATTTTAATGCGACGGAGCCAATCTGCCGAATGTCTAGACCACGTTTATCTAATCCATGTACCGGTACCCTTCGACCCTGCCCGTTATACCCTCTGGCCAACTATCATGATCTTCGCAGATGCTAGGGTGCCACTTATCAGTGGTGATTATGAATGGCGTGGTCTTTGTCGAATGGAGCTAAACACTATCCTCACTTCAAAGCATCCAACGCAACTTCCATGGTGGTCTGTTGAACGCCGGTCAATGGTGCCAATAGCGCTTGAGCAGTAATCTATCCTCGCCTTAGCCATCCAGGCAACACTGATGTAGAAAATCCAAAGACTGGTCGGAAGCTAAGTGCTCCACCCCGCCAAATCCCTACTCACCTGCTTTCTCGGAAAGAGGTTAAAGAGTTAGGAGGATTAGCTCATTTTGACATCATATTAAGATAGCTGTAGATGCATTTATACATACTGCTTTAGCCTCGAAGGAACATGACTTTTAAGAGGCACATGGTCGTCTCGGAATTGGTATTTCGCAGCATCATTTCACGCCTGGTATGATGGGATCACTGGGTTACACCACTAGATGCTAGTACGTCTACATTCTAATCCAAAGTAATACAAATGCTGAGGTAATATACAATGCAGGATGCGAGACAGATGTGAACCTGGTCACAAACGCCAAATGCAAGAATGGAGAAATCTGAAATGGGATCGTTGATGGGTGCAGATGCGAGAGGATGGTATCTGGCATTCGAAGTCCGGTTTCCGCGAGATGAAAGAGTGACGAGTCGTATCAAATGCAAGTCTCAAAAGAGCGCGATATGCAAGTCGTGCCAGCGATTCTGGTGCATGGGTCAGTGAGAGGAATGTGTGATAACACGCTTCGCGTGAGTTTACTCTCGCCCGCCCCTCTCCAGCGCGCCCTGCAACCACCGATGGCCTCTTACCTCTGCGATGTCGGCTCTGCGTATCTGATCGCGCTCAAGGCAGCGGGCCATGAGTGCGACCGCAGCGCGGCTGAGACGGGCCACACCCGGCTCGCGGAGCACGATCCGACCGTCGATTGCGTCTTGTTCCGTTGGGAAAGGTGAGTGCCCTGTGAGTAGATATGACAACAACACGCCAAGCGTCCACACCTCCGCTGGCGGTGCGCGGTATGGCTGCTTTCGTAAGATCTCAGATGATGCGTACGCCGTCGTTCCGAAAAATAGCGTATACAATGGCCTCGGCGCTGTGGGGTCAGCGACAACGGCACTGCCGAAGTCAATGAGCTTCACCTGTGCAGAAACACGAATCAGATTTGACCAACATTCTAAATGGTCAAGCTATCAACTCACCCTGAGTTCACTGTCTACTAGTAAGTTTTCATCCTTGATGTCGCAGTGAGTGATACCCTGGCAATCGAGGTAATATACCGCCTCCACAACCTGCGCGAAGACGTAACGCGCTTGGCTCTCCGAGAGCCGCTTATGCTTGCTCTGCTCGATGCACTCAAACAAGTCGTGCGACGGACGTCGCGAGAAGTTCGGGCGCACCTGGGGCGGAAGCGGAAGTGGAAGGGGGGCTCGGAGGAAAGCTTGCGGGACCTCATTGGAATTTCGCTCCCCTGCGTCGTTCGTAGATGGATTCAGCTTGAGATTTGCATGCGAAAACCTGGTGACATCATATTGGAGGGGGTCCTGCCCTGCTCCGGAGAAGTCATGCTCGACGTCGGTGAAGGGGGACTGCGGGTAAGTTGACACTGCCGGAGGTGTGCGAGGCATCACGTCTGTCATAGATTCGAATGACGGCGAAGGCGTCAGGGACGGTGTCGTCAAAGGAGTTGGTACGACGAGCTTCCCAGGAGCAGTGACCTGCTTCGCCTTCTTACTCTTCTTCGAGACCCATGGTGAACCGTGCAATTCCTGGACCTGTATATATCGATATCAGTTAATGCACTATATGTTACTCAGGGTTCATACTAACCATATAATAGTATAACTCGTCCTCGTACAAGTCCAAGCATTTGACGATGTTCGGATGGTCGATAAGACTGAGGAGCATTACTTCAGTCGGCATCCGACCGACGGCAGGGTCCTCCCACCACGCGTGTGCAGGAACCTTTTCTTTCACGATGAACTTGACCGCAACTTCATGGTATTCGGTCCGGTGCCGCGCGGTCATAACGAAGCCATATCCGCCTGCACCGAGCTCATCGCCGAGCTCATACACACGCACAAAAAACGGGTTAAGTGTATGCGCGGCGGGAAACCGTGATGAATATATACGCCCGAGTGTGGGCAACAACGGAGAGGAAGCGGCGTGCTGAAGCGCCGGTCGAGATGACGAGGACGAAGATGAAATAATAAGAGAGGGAAGGTTACACGAGGAAGAGGATTGGAGAGCGCCCATGGAGGGCGAAGGCAGCGGTGCAAGGAAGTCACCCATGTCTGAAGGTGTATCGCCCGCAGAGGTAGGAAAGTCAGAAGACAAATCAAAGGCCTGCTTGATGGGAGTGAAAGGAGAAGCGTAGGGATCGAGGGGGTGGTTACTGTAGGTATTCGCAGCGAAGGTCATCTCTAGGGATGCGTTGGCCAGGTCCAATGCCTGTGGAGGAGAAGAACAAGAAGGAAGGAAGGGGTCCTGATGCGCATTCGCGAGTGGCTCCGGCGTGGATGCAGCGAGGAGGGATGAAAGGGAAGGGGAATCTAGACTCATATAAGGGTTTGGTGACGCGGCATCAAAGTGCTGTTGTTGTTTGGGCTCAAACGGCCGAAGGTTGTCCGCCATGAAATGGTGCTGGTCGCGCGAATAACGAGGGTATGCGAGATGTCGCTCGTGGTGTTCCGTGAGAGGCGTCGGGAGGGAGTCGCCGTCATCGGAGGATGCATACCCAGTATCTGTGGGCGAATAGCCAGGCGGGAAAGGGGGCAGATAGGTGGTGCAGAGGGACGGGGGACGGACGTCGGAGGACATGGTTAGACGCTGTGGCTACGCGCTGCAGCACACAAGCGGCGGGGGAAAGGTAGCACGGACGTCGAGGGAGGGAGGAGGCAGCGTTGAAGGAGAACGGGGGCGGGCGGGGTATTTATTGGGACTCACCGTCTGGGAAGCGAGTGCACCGGCCGGCGACGGTGCCATGGAGTCGATCACAAGTCGAACGGACGCTCTCCGAGTGTCACGATCAACGGTGAACACGGCTTAGGCTCTTCCCTTTGTTCGCTCGCCCTGCCTGCCAGCCTGGCCACAGGCATGCAGCCGAGACGTCCACGCTAAGACAAGGTGTGCACTGTGGCAGGCTTGTCGGGACGACGCTTGCCTGGATGCCGTGGCTTGTGGCCCGGCTGTGGGAGCGCAACAGGCGGCGAATGAACGGGGGGGACGGTCGGCATGGGTGGTGAAGGCACAGGTGCTATGCCTACGCAGGCTGTCGATGTCGACGATCAAAATCAGTCCAGTGGCAAAGCCTTGCACTGAAGGCGCGTAAGGATCACGTGGACGTCGGGATTCCCCATTTCGGGCAATGCATCTGCCCAATCAGTCTCCATGTTGGCGTGTCCAGTGCACTGTCATGCTCCCGCAACTCTGGCATACATTATGATGTTCACACGCACTGAATCACTGTCCGAAACTCAAGAATTGGCATCGTAGTCTACGTTCGGGGAGCATTTGCACTCCAGAACCATCTCCCTGTACCATAGCCAGCGTATCGCCCCAGTGAGTAATTCGGCAGCAGTTCTGAAGACGGCCCATCGCTTGCTGGCATCGTAAACCAGGGCTCAGCATGACATTGGCGTGTCGGCGATGGTTCGCACCCCAGGACAAGAAACGACAGTTCCGCAGATAACATTCGGCATCCGACATCTTGGCAATGGAAGATCGAGGCGCCATTCGTGTCCTCTCAAGGAACGGACAGCCAAGTCCGCTATCATGCTAGTAGAACCCAAATCTGTAGTGAGGTCACTGGTCAAGCAATTACATTCTGGTCAACATTCGCATATCTGGCAAAGGAAGCTTATACAACTTCTTTGACTTCATTTATTCACGGTATGGTGCGCCCGTATGCATTCCAAGGCCCGGCGATGACGCGAATGAATGATAGGCCACTTGTCCATCGAGGACAATGTGGTTCAGCTCATCGTTATGAAAGCGCGAACCTGTTCTCCTTGGCCCTTTGGCCTCCCTTCACCCCCTTCACTGCATGAGCGTTAGAATTGAAACGGGATAAATTGGGCACACAGAACGTAAGCGGTGAAACGCGAAGCCATTATTATACATGGACCTCTGAAGAAGCTGGTTTTGGCCTGGGAGTTATCAGAAGACTATTGGCACAGCCAATCCTCCATAACAGACGAGTTAGCAATGCGTCACCGAGCACCGAGCAAACTCGTCGAGGCGACACGCCTGTCTCAGGTGCAGGTGTTTGTCGTAAAACAGGGGATGGCATCCTCCAATATTACCGCAGAAGTGCAAGTTACCGGTCGACGAAGGCATATTGCCTCTGAATCTCGGAGCGCTTTAGCTATCGGCTCAAGTCACCAAATCATCCGCCTACGATGACGGAGTTAGTGAGCATCTTTGGCGCTTCTCCCGAAACGACTATGGTCTCTTTCACCGCGCTCAAATACCCAGTTGAATAAATAAGAACAAAAGGGCTCGCACGACGAAACGGATGGGTGAAATAGGAATTGAAGGAAGAGAAAGGGATACACAAGCGGTTCAGCCACGCGAGATCCCTCAACAGAAGCCGCAGCAGCCGGACGGAGTACGCTGTCTTATACTCGGTCTCAACAATCGGAAATTCAGATATGGGAAGCCCGACAGATGTCGGAGATCTATTTAGGTGGGTCTGCTAACGCCCACATGTAATACACACCTAAAAAAAACTCGACATTGAACGACGACAACAGTACATTGAAGTGTTACGCACCAAGGCTACGATACGGCCGCCAGCTATCCGTCAGCTCTTCCATTTCTTTGGGTGTAAGCAAAGCGCCCCTGCGGAAGCAGGTCAGGCTGTGATTCAAAATACGAACTACGGCTAGCTCACTTTATTTTCTTCTTCCCATCCAGCCGACTTTTCAAAATTCCAGGCGTTAGTCCTTCCGGTAGCGGCGGAGGCGGAAGCAAGAGCACATCCCCGTTAGCACCCATGTTCAGGGCTTGATTTATGGACGGTGTGAACGGAGGGGGGAGCACAGCATCCTCGCTCTCGCTATCGTCAGCAACCTTAGTTTTAGCCTTGCCTTTACCCCTACCCTTCCCTCCGGCCTTCTTCGGTGGTGTCAATGGTAGACCCTCCGGGGCGGGCGGAACGGAAGACAAGTCAGGCGTTTGCGGACGAGCAATGTCGTTACTCCCAGAGGGTTCCCCAAGCACAGGGAGTGCTTCGTCATCAGCCGCTTTTCGGCCATTCGACTTGGATTTCTGCGCATCGTCTGTGGGAAGACTAGGTAGCTTCTCAGGTGAGATGGTGAGTGGATACGTTGTCGGTGTGTGCAGGGACAGGAACCAGCGGACAACGCCACGTTGCACGCCAAGATCGCCTTAGGTTTGGATCAGCGTCTCGTGCGCATCGCAAAGCGGCCAGATGCACCAACTGGAAGAATGTCTGGACGACGAAGAGAGAACAGAGCAAACATGTCAACTTAGGCGCGCTGATTAGACGACTATGATTTTAGCAGACAACTCATTATGCACTGACCAGTCCACTGTGAAAGAATGTCTGAGCTCGGAATGCACCGGAACAGTATTACAATATACGCACCCTGCCTATCCCTTTCACTTCAATCAGCATGTCGTACAGATCTTCGTCGTTGGCTTCCAGGAGTTTCTGCGTGGACAAACGCCCGTCAGAAAACCTGCTTGCAAGGTCGTGTACTACCAAAGTTGAGCTTCCAATTTACACGATTGTGGAGGGTACGGACTGTACTCGGCCTTACGGCCACTCAAGCCGGCAGTTCGAAGGATGCTGAGATCCATTTCTGACACTTGATGAGCAGTGGGGAAGAACGTAGAAACGCTATGGTCACAAGAGATTGATTAGATGGCGTACTACCGAGAGCGAATTGATGGCTGCACTGACTTAGAGTGGTCCACAGGTTTTTCAGGCAGAGAAGGATCAAATAACCTGATGAATTTGTGAATGATCGCGCGCGCTGCTAGCCAAGATATCTGTTGCCCCCTATCGGCGAGACGTTTGTTCGAGCAAGTTATATATAAAATCAGACAAGCTCACATAATAGAATTGGCCAGCGTCCTAAGCGTAAAAAACTTTAGAATGGCTGAATAAAGTGTCCACGGAAGGTGCATTAACACACCGAAAGGGATCAAATTGTTCGAGATGCTCGAAGGGCTTGCATGGCATACGCTTGAACATTTCTTCGAAGCGACAATCCGCGCTGATGAGATGTTCTTTCGCGTCTTCGAACGAGAAGGTGAGCACAGCTGGTACTAACGCGGCCGCATCGCCTTGAGCGTTGACGGATGGATTGCCCTTGTCTTTTTCTGAGTCTTCTCTGGACAAAGTCGCATCATCATTGTCGTCGGAAACGTCTGCCTTCGCCTTCTTCCTTGTCTCTTTCTTCGCTGCGGGGACGCTCGCCGCCTTTCTTTTCAGAGGTTTTTTGGGCTCGGCGACAACAATAGGCGCATTCACAGCCGGGAAGGATCCAGCGGCCGCACGCGTTGCAGAACGAGTCACTGGCATTATTGCGGAAGACTTGGACAAACGTGAACAATGCCTTGCTACCAAGGTGAGCATTCGAGACACCACGATGCTAGGGACGGCTCGCGTTGATATAGAGACTGCACGGCACGCTGAGTCAACGACGACGGGCGGGACGGGACCGCCCTGTTGCCATTGGCTCCGAGCAGCAGCGGCGCCTGTGACTCGGAGCGTGGCGCGTCGTGGACCAGACGCGACGCGTACCTCATCACGTGCCTCGCAATTCATGTCAGCTACTCCGCGTGGAGTCCGCGGTTGGTGGTAAATGAGAGCGGCATCATCAATCGCGCATAATTACGACCCCGCTACAGGCTGATGGTCTTCAAGTTGCAGCTACAGCGGTCGCGAAAATACACATGCTAAGCTATCTTAACTATATACGTACTATGATACAGAACAGAATGTATCTAAAGGATTTGTGTGACATAGGTCACAAACGAAAGTCCTTCTCAAGATGCAATAACAATATTTACAACACGGCAGGACTAGCCGGCGGGGCCTCGTACACTGGAGGTGCCTCCATTCGGATTTCCTCCATCGCTCGGCGCAAATTCTCTACCTCTGCTCGCAACCCACTTATCTCGGTAGGGGATAGGTGTGCTCCGCCGGAGCCGACTGTCAAAGGAGGGTTCTGGCTAGAAGCAGGTGCAGAACCAGTAGCGCTACTATGGTCCGGTGTTGGGACAGGACCGGCGCCCGTTGCACTCTGACCTTGAGAGTGGAGATGTTCGCGCAGCTTCGAGGACATCAACTTGAATGGCTGGAATGTTGGTGTATTTGAATGAGGATTTTGCACATCTGAGTCCGAGGCTGCGGTAGTCACGACGGGCGGTACATTATATGGGAAGGGATCTGGGTCGTAGGGCCGTAAGTCATCGTCCTTCTCAATCTCTATTAATCGCTGTCGCGAGCGCCGCCAGCAGAAGAATGCGACTGCTAGGATGAGCACCACCCCTGCGACACCGCCCACGACACCGCCAACAACACCTCCCACATTCACTTCGGACTTTGCAGTGACGTCAGAAACGGGTGATGGTGGGATCGTGATAGTCTTGTTGGAGACCCTATGTGAAGAACTCTTAGGTTGACTTTCAACGAGATTCTCATGCAACCTACTCCAATGCTAATGGCGCAAATACTCCACCCTGACCAGGGCTAGGTTT